TCACGACGCACTGAAGGCGTAAAAATTACAAAAAGTCATAACTCTTCCAGAATGATCCTAAAAATTCCAAGCTTGCACACCCATACACCCTACAACAGACACTCGTATGCACAGTTCCGCGTTTTTTCCATGGCTAGAAATCAAGAGAATGAAATTTGGCATATTTTTGTCAAAGCCATCGTGAGCTTCTCCCAGACAGGTAATTCTGTAGTATAGACCTTTGAAAGTATATACGTAAATATTCAGCTTCTCACAAGGTTTAGTTTTCGAGAAAAATCAAATTTTGCAAAAAACGCGAAAATTGAGACATGTTTGCACTTTTGACCAATTTTTGTTTCTCGTGTTCCAGTCATGGGAAAATTCCACAAACTGTGCAGGTGAACGTCTAGTGTAAAGGAGTACATGCATATGCGAACTGGAGTTCCTTAAGACACTTATGGACAAGATACGATTTTTTGGGTATTTGAAATTTTTTGTATTATAGATTTGAACTTAGGTGGAATGAAGTTTCGCAATAGTTTGTACTCCATCTTGTAGAGCTTGCTTTGCTTTATCAAATTATTCCACTCACAACTTTCGTAATAACTCTGTCGCGGGAGGATGTAATGCGACATTATTTTCCGAACAGCTCAATATATTGTAAAGTACTGTATCTTCTCTTTTCTGCACGAAATTCGCTTTGCTTTCAGGTCAGATCCAACAGAGTGCACTTGGTCTGGTCGTTGGATGGGTGCTAATACCGCACATAACATCTACTGCAGATATGATAACATCGGCAAATGTGGAGCCATCGATTGCTCTATCAACCATTTCACACTGAAGGTACGGTTTTATCCATAGGTGGTAGTAAGATGAATGTTTACCTGCAGGCACAAAACTCATCTGAAATCTACGGCGAACGTTGCGATCGAGTAGATTTGTTTGGCTTGAAAGGAAAAGCTACCTGCGGTTACATCGCTTGGTTTGATGAAAACGGCGAAATTGTTAATAGCTGGTACAAAACCAGGTGATTAGGAGATTTTTTCATATATCGATGGCAATTCTTCCAAACGCTTTGTTACGTGTGCATCCGTTCATCTCCCTTAACCCAGGTCTGCAATGCCCATTTTATGCTTTCGAATCATTAGGCAGTGTTATAAGGCTCTCAATTGGTGCTATTTTTTTCATTTTGCTTACATGTGACCATCTTCTCCTCATTAGCATAATTTCGAAGTGGCAATAAATAGTGCACTTGCGAAACCTGTAGAATTGCATGATTATGGGTTACCTTGTTATTGACTTCGCCTATTGTCATTCTTTGCTTTAGCTATTCACCTGCTTGTTATCTCTAATTATGTTGTAACACTTTCGCATGCCAACAATGATTTCTCTTTTTTCGACAATTGCTTACAACTTGAGTTGACGAAGATTGTTTGAACAATTCTATCAGTAAAGTTTTCTATCAGAGCAATTCAAGTAAGTTCTTCAGCAAAACACCGGCTACACGC